TGAGCACACCTCCAAACAAACAGGCAGGTAGGCAGACAGACAGACAGATACACAGATACACAGGCAGGGACGGGCGAAACATGCAGGGGGGGTCAAATCCGCGGTTGAAATGCAGCCATCAATCCTCCACCTTGCACACCATCTTCTGTCATGGTTACCTAAGATTCAACTCGCCGTGTTACATTCGATGGGAGGTTACAAAAACATGCTGCACTCTCTTCACCCGATGGTTCACCTTATGGTTCACCTTCAGCCTGACTGACGCGGGGATCTCAGCTTGCTTTTCACGCCCTACTCCCACCGCATCGCCCTGCGGTCGGTCGAGCCGTCTGGCTCGAGGGGTTGAGGCTGCCGGGGGCATCGATGAACAGGCGGCATGCGACCTGCAGCATCGACTGACAGGCTTTGTCTTGGGCCCTGCTTGCTTTTGTCCCAAATGTCCGTATTGTCAGACACGATCGAAGCCAGATCCATCTTGTCTGTGCTCTGCCAGCTTTGTCAGTCATCTCTGACATGGTCTGCCTGCTTGCTTACTTGAGGTCCAACTCCATCGCCGATGCCTCTTATTCGCCTTGGCCTACTCAACATCTCCGCCCCCATCCCGCAGGCACCTTTTGTCCGCCCCGTTCCCGTCCGAGACTACGGGGAGTAAACACACACACACACACCCACAGGGAGAGAGAGGGAGAGGCCTCAGGCCCCGTACGTCCAAGCTCATCGCCAAACTCGACGGGGATGGGTGCATAGAACGAGGCATGCCCTGCGCCGGTCGCCGCGGCCCCCCATGACACCAAGACACGAAGAGAGCAAAACCCCGAATAGGGGTGCAGAGAAGACCTCCCCTTGCTCCCACTCTTCCAGACAGTCTGACTTGAACGTTTGTTCACCGACAAGTCCCGACTCCTCCGCCTCGTTAGCACCGGGTCTAGCCCTCGCTATAGATGCAGGTGCCTTGCATGCCCCCTTCGCCTAACTTGACAAGCCTGATAAAAACCCAGCATCCGTCTGCCCAAAGATATGGGACACGACCAAGGCAAACGGTACGCACGCGGCCTTGGCGGGCTTGTTCCTGTTGAAGAATTTGCCGTCAACCATCTTCGACCGGGCTCCCGCATGCCCTCTCGTTTCGAAAGCCTCATGTGGATTGGGTTGCTTACTCGTCAGATGCCGTCGTCCTTGTAGTTCTGGCCCATCGTCATGTTTAAGGTGCTTTGACCTTCGGCCGCGGATTACCTGCCTTGCCCATCCCCGTCGATCACTCTCGCGCTACCTCGTGCTAAGGTGCCATGTCGTGACGAACTGACCAGGATGCGCGCACTGTTGTTCGTTCGTGTCTGTGGGCAGCTGTGCTTGGCTGCCACCGCGCCTCTTTTTGTTCTTTTTTGCACAGCAAGTTGATGATCTAGCCTCATGACAGGTTGGTCCAATGTCAGTATCAGACACGCACACACACACACACGCTCCCTACTTTCGTCTTGTTGACAACGAATCCCCAGTGTCGCTGTCAGGGTTGTCGCTACCGCCTATATTGATTGACCTTGTCAGTGAAAATTCCACCAGGATTGGTCCACGTCACACCAGCCTCGGCGGCCGTTAGGTGTGAACTGTAATCCTGGCACCCGACCACAACCCATCGAGGTACCTCCCGTAGTGGATAGGCAGCCCGTTCAGCAGCGTGACGGAACAACAGGCCGCTATTCCAGGCCATCCTCTGTCACAGTTGCCAACATAGTTTATCCTAACTCGCGCTACCTGGCAGGATGACAGTGTTTCAGGTAGGTGTATCTGTATGCATTCTTCGGAGGCTAATGCAGTTCCATTTAACCCCTGGGTCTTCGGCCGCTGCTCCCCTATGTCCCATGGAACAGCTCAACGTCGGGTATCACGCCACGCTTCGTCGTGTCATCGAGCCATGCTCGTGAACCGTGTTTCGAGACCTGCTGGTTTCCTCGTCGTTGCGCATCGTTCTTTGTTCCTCGATCCCACCTTACGTCACCCCTGAAATTCCGCATCGAACACCGCCCCTGAACAACCCCATCCCACTTGCTTAGTTGCTGGAGAAGCCCCCAGAATTCGTTTGGACTCGCCTGGCACTAAGATCTCTAGACACAGTGACCACTGTCAACGCGATTCATGCTTTCGGCATGAAATAGTGCCGAAAAGAGAGAACTGTCGGGCTTGCGCCTGATGCATGCGGCGAAGGCTCAACATGGAGGGAAGTTACGGGGCAGGCTGTTCAGTCACCCGCTGCATTCTAGGTGCTTGTGCTTGCATCGTTGCTGGAGATATCCGCGTCCCCCTTGGCATTGGCTTTTTCTGTGTAGCAATTCTTGTTCTACTATTACAAGGACCAACGTCGGATGTGAGTCACGTCGTCATCAAGCTATAGTGCGGTCGACTCTGCACCCAAGGTTCGGTTTCATGGCGTCTCAAGTTGTCCACAGAGCTTCATTTTCGTTCTCATACGGTGCCTTTCTCAGTACTTCAAGGGAGTCAATGGAGTCATCCCTTGAGGGGCGCGCGGTCTTGTATCGACATGGTACGGCCATCACATGAAGTTTGTTGTGGAGATTGTGCATACACACAGGCCAGAGTCCCCAAGGAGAGAATCGCCAGCACATGCTACTGGTAAGCAGCCCCTGCAACTTGGGAGAGATTTTGGCTGCCACACTCTCTCTGTTGTTGTGGTGGTCCATGGCGCACAAGACCAGGTAAGGAACCAGCGTACAACCTGGTTCATCAAGCCAGATATATGACAATTCGTTTCATCGGCAGGGCCACCCCTGCGCAGTCGTTCTGGTTCAGCTTGTTGGGGTCTAAACATTGACCATCATGCCGCCACTGGCCTCATACCAAGCTTTCCCGTCGACAGATAGCCCCTATTGCCCATCTCGCCTCGCCACCCAATGCCCAACACACCGAAGACGATCCGCCCGTCGTCGCCCGGCTCGAGGCCTCCCCCCTCTGCCGTCTCCTCCACGACGAAGCAGACCTGCTCGACCTCCCCCGGGTGCAGGACCGGTTTCCCCGCGGGGCCCCAGTTGCAGTCCGTGTACGCCAGCCCGCCCTCGAGGTTCAGCTCGACCCTCTCCAGCTGCACGACGTCCTCGGCGCAGTTCTCGAGCTGCGCCTCGAGCACCCACTTCCGCCGCACCCTGCCGTCGGCGCCGCCCGGCGTCCCCGGCAGGCTCCCGACCTTGGTCCGCACAATGAGCGACGACTTGCATATAAACTGGTACAGCTTGCGAAACGTGCGCGTGCGGCCCGATGTCTCGGTGGCCTCGTAGTAGCTCACCGTCACGGCGAGCACGTGGTTCCCCTCGTCCTTGAGGTCGAAGCCCACGATGCGCTGCAGCGTCTCGCCCGGCGCCAGGTCCGCTGTCGCCGTCGCCGTCGTCGCCGCCGCAGGGTCCGACGATGACGACGACGACGAGTCGCTCGCGCGGCCCGTGAGCTGGAGTTTCTGCACAGACCCCTGCGCGCCGGGCGTCTTCATCTCGGCGTCGATCCTGACGTCGCGGATGCGCTTCGTCGGCAGCGCGGCCGCGACGTCAGCGGACACGGGCGGTTCGTGGTTCGCGCAGAGGGTGCAGCTGAAGTGCTCGCCGACGTAGGCGGAGCCGAAGGACAGCGGGAGGTTGAGGATCGGCGCGAGGAGAAAGGGGTCGGGGTTCGTCGAGGCCGCGGCGTCGGGCGCGTAGGCGAGCGAGGCCGGGATCGGGGCCGCGTCGTGCGCGGCCGGCGCCAGCGGGGGCTTGGTGGGGTGCTGCGTCACGAGGGACGGGCGGGAGAGTCTGTTGGTGTGTGCATCCTTGGTTAGGGCCCCGGAGGCGTGCTGTGCGGTTTCGGTACGGGGGAGGAGCTCCAGTCTGGCTCATCTTCGGACGCACCGGAGGACTTTGAGGGAGATGGAGTGCGGCTCCTTGATGGGATCGTGGGACGGGTAGCGTTGGTGGCTCATGGTGGAGGGCGTCGCATTCGTTCTGCTGCACGGGTTGACGGGACGTTGAAGAGAGAGCAAACACAAGGAGGAAAGGCTGCGCTGTTCGATTGATCGGTCGGTTCTAAGTTCAGTATCTTGGGGCTCGTATACGTGGTATGGAAATATCGTGCATGGAGACAGGTCGGTTGGAATGCTCGAGCGTTGGAGTTCAGGCGGGACGGGAAGCACAAGACAAGCTCGAGTGGATCTCTAGGCTATCGATAACACCAGCCATCGCGCGCAGCCACCCCCACCACTCGGGACCCCGCCAAAGTCGGCCTGGCCATCTGAGCCTCAACGACAGGTTGCTTCTTGATGGTCGTGATGGTGTCTCGATAGTCAGTTCCCGGTCCCCTCTTTCGCCAGCCATACATCCTTTGGTCGTATGTGACAGGCAGCAGAGCTATGAATCATGAACAAAGTTCTGGTACGACATCGCAGGGCACGCTTGTGCACCGGACTGGGCCATAGAGCCTACCGCCATACGACATCGGACAGCCAGAGTCAAGCTAGCTTGGAGGGGCCAGGGCCAGGGTATCATTCCGCTGGAGAGCCCTCACCCTCGCCATTGATCCGTGACTTGTGAAACTTGCTAAAGCATGTCCGCAGAATTTCATCCATCCGACGGTCAAAACTAGTTCATCCCATTCGACATGGAAGCGCTCTTCCATCCAAAGCACAAGTACGCCGTCTCCCAATCGTGAAGCTACTCCGTGTCATCAGGTCTCACAAACGCAAGTGAATGATGCGCAGCAGAGAGGTCATCCTCGACAATGGCGTCCGAACAGACACTCGCCGGGTAAGACACCATGACAGACACTGTTGATTGAACAAATTAAGGTTTCCACAAACGTAGAAACACACCTTCATTACGACGGCCCACGAAAACACGGACAGGTGCCGTTCGCCCCTGGATCGCCAGCGCGACTGTGGCGTCAAAACTGTCATTGAGATCCATCCTTCAGTCTCTTGCCTCTGACTTCCAAACCAAGGAAAGTTATCACCATCGCCATCATCTTCAAAGGCCAGGTGGAGGAGGCACCGCTCCGTAGCTTCCTGTCCCGGGAGGCCCGGAAGGGGGAGGGGGCGGGGGCGCCGCGCTCGGAGGTGGGGGTGGGGGAGGAGCTGCCTCGCTCGGAGGCGGTGGAGGTGACCCAGATGCGCCAGTTCCCGGGGGCGCTGGCGAACCCGTCGCTTGTTGCTGGGCGCCATAGTACTGCTGGTACATTTGGACGTAACTGTCTTCTGTCAGAAGCCGGATCATCGGAGAGAGGGGGGAGACTGTACGTACGCAGCATAGCCGCCATAGGCGGCGTAGGGATCCTGGCCGCCGTAGTACTGGGCGTACTGGGCTGCATAGTCAGCGGCAGAGGCGGCGCCGGCCGCTGGGCTATTCGTGGCGCCAGGGGCTGGGCTGGCGGATTGCGCAGCGCCCTGTCCCGCTCCGTAGCCGCCGTAGCCCTGGTAGGCGTTGCCTTGAGAGCCCTGCTGGCCACCGTAGCCTCCGCCAGAGCCGTGAGAATGGTCGTTGGAGCGGTTGCCGTACCCACGATCACCGTAGCGGTCTCCATGGTTGCGGTCGCCGCCGTGGTGACGATCGCCGTGGTCTCGGCCACCATACCCACGATCACCGCCATAGCCGCCACCGCCACCGCCGTAACTGCGAGGGGGCCGGTTCTTAAACTCCTCGTACTGCTCCTTGACATTGGCGATCAAGTCCTCGCACAGTTCCTTGCCCTTTGCCACCATCGCAGGATCGGGTCCCCTGTGTCAAGTCAGTAAAGAAAGCGTCTTTGCTGCGTGCTGAGTCAACCTACGCCACATGGAGGTACATGTCCTCCTCGCTCTCCTTGTTGGTGGAGGCTTCATAGTAGCCAGAGCCGCGGCCCTTGATCTGCACTCGACATTGGGTCTCAGTCTGAATGTGCTTGACGTACGCACCGCCGTGTCCGACGACCTGAGCACGCAGATTGAATCCCGGAACAGGGTCCAGATCGATGGGGATCTTCTCCTCAGGCCATTTACGCTGGAAAAAAAAGTTAGCCGGAGCTTTCTGCCTCTCCTCGTCAGCAACCTACGCGTCCGTACTCGTCGCGCTCCACCTGCTCCTGGTCACGGCGCCGGAACCGACGTTCGTCGACAAGCTGGGGGAGCTCCTGAGTCATCATCTCCTCGATCTTGGCTACGGCCTGTTCGAGACCTTGCTTCGAGGTGCTTGTGATGTGAAGGTAGAGCGGCGGGTTCTGGCCACTCGTCAGTCAAGAGTTTCTCATGCGTGACGAGTCGAGAGGAAACTCACTGCGGGCGTGGCCATCGCCTTGTCGGGATAGAAGCTGCCTCGGGTAGTAACATCTTGCAGGGTCAACATGCGAGCTCTCAAACGGTGAACAGAGTGGGAGGTGTCTCGTACCAGCACCGGTCTCTTCTTTAATCTAGGCAGCGGGAGTCAGCAGGTGCCAAAGCGGGGGATGCTGTGCGAGCTACGGAGGCCCAGTAAGCAGCTAGACCTCTACACAAAAATAATGAGATGGAGAGGGGAGAAGAAAGGGGGGGGAGGACGCAAAAAAGCGGGAAGCTTGCGCGCGCAGGCAAGTTGCGACTAGCTTGGGGGGGGGATCAGTGTTGGCTCAAAAAGGATTATTTACCATCTTCTGTGTAGACCCCTTGGTCAAGAGGTAACGGTTGCGCAGGTCATTGACTTCGATGTCCTTGATGTAGTCGCCATCAGCGACGTACATCTCCCCGTTGATGTTGTCCGCCGGGGGAGAGCCAGAGCCTCCCTTTGCCGTCTCGCTGGTCGACAGGATCGGTGGGACGTCAACATGCTGGATGCCCTTTTTAGCCTGGAGTTGAGCATTGATGCGTGCGGCGGCGGCGGCTGTGGAGGGGGGCAGAAGTCAGTGATCTACGTTGCATTGAAACGTGTTTGAGGATAGCGACGGGAGTCGATCACGTACCTGCGGCGGCGGCAGCATCGGCCGGGGCCTTCTTCGGCTCAGACGTATCGTTTCCGATGGGACTGCGATCTCTGGGCGGTTCGGAGCGCTTGCTGGGGGGAGAACGCGAGCGGCGGTCGAATCGGGAGGCCTTCTTCGGCTCCGGCTCGGTTTGGTCGAAGCGCGAACGCTTGACAGATCGTCGTTCCGAGTCATCCATGATGATGGACTTCGAACTGGTCTGCTGTATGCGAGGGTGTTGTTTCGTGGCTGGGGCCTGGGAATGGTCGGTTTGTCGAACCTCGGCAGCCTGACGTGGCAGTTCGCGCAACGGGTGAGGTAGTCGCAGAAAAAGCGTTTTACGAAGCTTCCCAGGCCGAGATGGATTTCGAGGAAGGTGGAGCCTTGGGCGGCCACACTCACGCTTACGCCCACGTCCACGTCCACGTCCACGCCTGCATGGCCCGTGAGCTGCCCCCAGAAGGCGCTAGTCCTGCTTCCAGGGGAGGCTCCACTGTGGCCGGTCGCCGTTCTGGGCGTTGGGCTAGACCGTACCCCCCAATGAAAATAACCGAGTGTATTGACAGCTGTGGAAAAGACACAGCCTGGCATTGAACAATCGTTGCTTTTCCTATCGATCCCTCTCTTGAAAGCCATGACATTGGCAGGGTATCGAGAGGATGACTAAGGTCTTCTGCTCCATCCCAGCAGTGGCCCTGGCAACTCTTTCCAGAGGGTCAGTTACATTGCATTGAGGTACCTTAGCTCCAACCTTATTATCAGTTCCAATTGATACGCAACTGTATTTATTGTTCTTGTAACGAGCGTATTCTGTATGCTACTCCGATGACAGGATCTATCCTGTGCCGTGGCCCCATGGCTCCATGGGCTCCATGCGGACTTTGAATCCGTCAGGATCGTCACCCCCACATCATACCTGCATTGCCTTGCTGTACTCTCCACCCCGACTACATCACTACGACGTCTCAATACTGCATGGACAGTGGAGCAGCGGAAGAACACAAGCTTGTCTCAACATCGCCAACAGTGCCGAGTGTCAGACGAAGATTTCGGGCCCCTTCACCAGGTCAGCCGCAGACTGCCAAGGCGCACCTCAGTTGGCGGCCGTCCAGAGAGCAGGGCCGGGGTAGGGGTAGCTCGTGTACGAAGTGTACAGGTTGAAGATGATTCCGGGCTGGTTGCGGGTGTAGAGGCTGGTGCCGGCCACTCCGTTGGTGGGACGGACGGTGCCGCTGCCGCTGACCTTGAGGTTGAGGCACTGGGGGTAGTTCTGGGCGCCGTTGTCGTTACCGGCGCCGTGCAGGGCGATGATCTCGTGGCGCAGGACGTAGTTGCCCGGCGCCAGGTTGCGGGGAATCGTCGTCGTCGTCGTAAAGTTGTTGGCGATGAGGCTGTCGGTGACCCAGGTCTGGCCGCTGACGATGCTCTTCTGGGCGAACTTGGACCACCTCAGGCCGCCGGCAGTGGTCTCACCTGATTGCGTCATGGATTAGACGTGAACTTGTACCAACGGGTTGTTGAGGGTGGGAGAGATGGCTTACCGTTGTAGGGAGCAATGTAGTCGATGATGGGGCCCTTGTGCGAGTCGGGCCAGGTGTTCCAGTAAATCTCAATGGTCTGGCCAGCGTTGACATTCACAAAGTTCTTGCCAGCAGTGGCACTCTTGTGGCATGCAATGTCATTGGTGCCGAACGCAGCAGGCTCGACAAATCCATTGTCCTGGTTGCGAGAGTCCCAGCCAGCGGTGACCGGGCCTTGGCCTGCAGGGCTATAGAACCACACGGGGTCCGAACCAGCAGTCCAGACGCCGCCAGCCCTGATGCCGCGAACGAAGCCGTGGGCGGAGACGAGCTCAGGCAGGCAGGCTGCGAGGCCGAGGAGGGCACTGAAGGACCGCATGATGAAGAGTGTAAAGACGAACAGGATACTGATGTAGCAGAAAGCAGTTGGTGACGATCTCTGAGCAGTAATCCATGTCTGGACGGTTGATCGACGTCTTATTTATACTGATCAACGCTACCATTTTTCTTCTACAGACGACGATGATTCAAAGTGATCGACACTGGATCCGTTGGTGGCAACCATCGTGACATGATGCAAAATCACGGCTTCATGTCTCTGTTCGCAGGCTGAACCACTTAGACCAACTGAATTCCGCATCTTCTAAGCTTCTGTCATCTGTGAGACCTGCAAGCAGGTTTGACTGAGCATCGGTAATAGAGACGGCTCAACGTTCATTGGATCCAGCAAAGCAGCTACGGACCTCGATCATCCGCAATTCCATTTCTGCCCACTGCTTGGCACCGGCATTCATGTTTGAAACAATGAGAATGCTGGAGGCCGACAGCGTCAATCTATGCTATTCATATAAAGATATTGACACAGCACCACAAGACAGGTCGCGCAACATGTCGCGACCGGAACGCTTCCTGCCGCTTCTCTATCCAGCAGCTACCTACCAGCCTGTGCGGACACCCCGCGGGGAAATATGCATCCCCGCGGTCATGCATGGAATGCCTATGCCGAAGATAGAAGCGGCTTATGCCGTGCAGCTCGGGCTTAAGGAAAGGGCGTATAAGTGCCGGCTGTCGGTCCTCCGATCTGCCATCCATGGTTGAAGGATGTCTAGCGAACCGCCGACATGAGTGACTCTACATGACAGTGCACGCCGTTTGTCAGACAGATTTCCGGGGATCACGTATGTGCTATGGAGTTCCATACTCCTGAAGGGGTCTGGGGCGTGGCTGCTCAATTTTAACTCCGAACGCCATGCCTGCGGAGACTCTAAGCGTTCTACACTTCTCGCAGTGATTTTGTAAAGCAAAACTCGAGTCATGACGCCAAACAACACTAGTGCACTGCAAACAGGGAAAGAACCAATATTGAACGTCGGGGCTTCAGCTTCAGTGGCAGTCTATTTATGTATTAGGAACTAAGAATAGAGACGACGAAGATATGATATCAATGGCGTACTCAACCTCATGACGTGTACGCTGCCTAGCGTAGTTCAATTAATAACACGAGAGACAATAGAATGTGGGAAAACCAATGCCGTTCCTCGTGTCTGTCGGAATCTAATTGAAATATGAATGTAGAATGAAAGCATATACAGCAGAATCACTCGATTTGCTCGTGCTTCCACATTACAAACACGGAACCGTTTCAGGTTTTAATCCTGTGTTTGATCTCATTAGAATCCTGCTTGATGTCCAGCTAACGCTGCGAAGTATAACTGAAGAAGATGATCAAAACGCAACGGCTAACCTCCTCTTGATAGAATATCTGGGACCCGCCCTCATATTAGCCTTGTGAGAACCTAAGCTTATGAAGGGCTCTGAAGGGCGAGCCAACCCACCCGATGCCTCACTTCCGGTCAGTCGCTCACCGAAACCCCACCGATCCACAGTTCGGTCAAAGCCGCAGGTGAGCCGTGCACGCACCTTCCCCTGCACCCACTCAACAAGCCCCAATTCCAGGCCAATCCAGCGACCGGCAATCGGAGGTCTGTGACTCCAGTGACTGACTGAATGTCCCCCAATTTTTCCCAACTACCCAAAAGCACCACCACAGATCCTTCCTCTCCATCCCATCCACCACAACACCCAAGGCACCGAGCCTTGTCTTCCTGGTCAGAGAGCCCCTTTGTTCTCGCAATTGATCAGAAATGGCGTCTCGCTGCCTCGCCGCGCCCATGCGGCTCGCCGCCCGACTGCAGGCCGCCCCGACTGCGACATCGCTCACCTCCCAGCGCTGGAGCTCCTCCAGCTCGACCTCGGCTCTCGCCTACAAGGCCATCCGCCGTCGCTCCTCCCCCCTTCCCGTCGACCAGACGCCCGCCTGGTCCGCGCAGGCTGCCGTCTCCAACATCCTCTACGAGACGCCCACCCCGTCGATGGCCCCGCCCAAGCGTCACATCCTCAACTGTCTCGTCCAGAACGAGCCTGGTGTTCTGTCCCGCGTCTCCGGTATTCTCGCCGCCCGCGGCTTCAACATTGACTCGCTCGTCGTCTGCAGCACCGAGGTTGAGGACCTGTCGCGCATGACCATTGTCCTGACCGGCCAGGACGGCGTCGTTGAGCAGGCGCGCCGCCAGCTGGAGGACCTTGTCCCCGTCTGGGCCGTGCTCGACTACACCAACGCCGCTCTCGTCCAGAGGGAGCTGGTGCTCGCCAAGATCAACATTCTCGGCCCCGAGTACTTCGAGGAGCTCCTCGCCCACCACCGCGAGATGACCGCCGGCGACTCTGAGTACGAGGACGGCCACGACGTCTCCCTCGAGCAGACCGCCAAGGACTTCCACCCCAGCAAGCTGGCCCTCAGCGAGGCCCTTCGCCACAAGCACGAGCACCTGAAGACCATCACCTACTTCACCCACCAGTTCGGCGGCAAGGTTCTTGATATCAGCACCAACAGCTGCATTGTCGAAGTGTACGTGTCCCCCCCCCCCCTTTCTCCCCGTCTCGCATCCGCCCGCCCGTGGCACGTGTTGTTTGCATGCTGACATGTGATGGAACAGTTCCGCGAAACAATCCAGGATTGACTCCTTCCTCAAGCTTGTCGGCCCCTTTGGTATCCTCGAGTCGGCCCGCACCGGTCTCATGGCCCTGCCCCGTTCCCCCCTGCAGAACAGCCAAGACGACGCTCTTATCAAGGAGGCGGACGAGGTTGTCGATGCCAGCCAGCTGCCCCCCGGTTAATTGGGACTGTAGAACGATCAAATGGACTCGGCGTTGGTCAAAGAGGTACACTAAGCAATGTCTTTTCAATTGTGATCCAATTTTTATCTGGTATATCGAGACGCCTTGTGCGGCATTCACCTGCATGCCATTCGCCTTGCATGCCATTCGCCTGGATGGCATTCGCTCCGTGACTCTTTTGTAATCCTTGCGCCTACGTGCTTCGCCACTTTTGCTACATGCTCCCTTAGATCTTACCCTTCTGCACGACGAAACCCTCGAGGGCAGCTTGGAAAAACAAGTCAGCGGTCTGAACCCATGATGACACGATAAAGGGAGTCTTCGAGACTCACCAACAGCTGCCCACAGGCGGTTTTCGGCCTCGGGGAAGACGAGCGACCTCGGGCTGTAGAAGACCTCGTCGGCCACCTCCTCCGGGTGGCGGGGCAGGCAGTGCATGAACTTCCAGTGGTCCTTGGCGCCGCCGCGCTTGGCGAGATCATTGGTGATCTGGTACCCGGCAAAGGCCTTGAGCCTCTTCTGCGCCTCCTGCTCCTGGCCCATGGACACCCACGTGTCGGTGACGAGGACGTCGGCACCCTTGATGGCCTCCTCGGGGACCGTCGTCTCGGTCAGCTTGCCGGGGGAGGCGACGCCGTCGGCGGACGCGTGAATGAGCTGCTTCATGACGTTGGGGATACCGTAGCCGGCGGGCGAGGCGACAGAAATATCGACGCCCATCTTGACGCAGCCAATGGCGAGATCGAACAGGACGTTGTTGGAGTCGCCGATCCAGGCGACCTTGAGGCCCTCGAGGCCGAGGCTGGCCTTGTCGGCCGAGGCGGCGGCCGGGAAGGTCTCGTGCAGCGTGGTGAAGTCGGCGATGATCTGCAGCGGATGAAAGTCGTCGGACAGGGCGTTAATGACGGGGACGCTCGAGTCCTTGGCCAAGTCGGCGACGTCGGAGTGCGGGCCGACACGGGCGACCATGCACGAGGTCATGGACGAGATGACCTTGGATGTGTCGTACAGGGACTCGTTGACCTTTTGTTATGCTCTCATGTCAGTCGACGGGGGCCTTGACATGTCACTACCAATTGAAAACGTACACCGAGCTGAATATCGTTGCTGCCCAAGAACATGGGGTGACCGCCCATCATAGCCACGGCAGCCTCTGTGGAGACGCGGGTCCTCGTGCTCCTCTTGCTGAACATCATGGCGACCGTCTTTCCCGTGAGACCGCCGGCCAGAGACTTGGGCGCCTCGCCAGTGGCCTTGACGGCCTTCTTGTGAGCGGCAGCATTACGAACGAGAGTAGCAAACTCGGCAGGCGTGAGGTCGCTAATGGACATGAGATGGCGAGGGGTCGAGGTGGCCTGGGAACAGGCTCGGGCCTGAGAGCTGTTAAAGGCTGTTCGCACAGCGCGGAGTGCTGATTGCCTCATGATGTCTGGGTGGTGGTTGAGCTGAGTGCGGTGGAGCTGTGGACGAGTGAAAGTGAAGTTGTTGAGCGCCTTCCGAGATAAGGTTGACTGAGGTAGGTAGGAGCCTTCGGAGTGGATGATTGTCAGTCAATTGGCGAGTCCCGAGAGCCAATCCAAAGTGTTTATAGCGACTTGAGCTGCCAATGCGTGACTCAAGGCTGTGATGAACTTGACTCACGGATAAGATGGAAGAGTAGACAGTTGATATTGAGTCACGATGGTAAACCTGAAGGCACGCTCACCGCTTTACACCGAAAACATGACAAACTTGGTTTGAGAGGCTATCGATTGGGCCGAAGCTCAAGCTCTCGAGTGATTCACGAGATGGAGCCGATAGCGGAGTTGGCGCTGTTCGTCAAGCACCTAACCCCATCCGGAATGGTTCCGGTTCCCGGTGCTGGGTGGGCACGTGCGCATCATGCCAGGGGAATCGGGCCCCCACACGCTCCCTCCACCAATAGCTGTTGCGTACTGCGCCTTGTTCCAGGAGGCTGCGCAGCGCTGACGAACCCCCCTGGGCTTGACATCATCATCAACCGCCAACTCCCCCCATTCCAGGTCAGTTTGCCCATCCTGATTGTCGCCTTCGTCTCTGTACCTGCTTCGAATGGACAGTTCACTCACAACATATATTTCCCAGTGGCGAGATTTTCAAACCCATACCTCTGTGCCATGGTGAAGCTTTCGCGATAACTCCCCTTAACCCCACCTCCACGCAATCCACATCATTACACCATACATACACAAGCGAACCTGACCAACGCGATCATGTCCGACTCCGAGAGGTCACCTCTCCTCAGCCCAAAGGGCAAAGCGAGAGCATCCCCGGAAGCTGAAGACGACAATTCTGAGTCTGCGCCCTTGCTCTCCAGCTCCACCGCCACACCTAGATACGATGGCGACCAGGACGAGCCCATCGACCGTGACGCCGTCTCTGTCGCTTCACGCGACTCTACAGATTCCAAGAAGAAGAAGAAGACAGTACGGTTCATGCCGTGGCCATCCATCGTCGCAATTCTGATGCTCGTAATCGTTGCTGGCGTCGTTCTGCTTCTGGCCTTCTTCCTACCCGCTGCCGTTGAGGAATACGCCAAGGAAGCCGCTGTCCTCGAACCCACCAACCTGTCTCTCGAATCCATTACGTCGGACGGCGTCAAGGCTCGTATCCAGGCGAACTTTCGCCTCGATGGCTCTAGGGTCAAGGACGACTCGTCGAGGCGCCTCGGGCGTTTCGCCACCTGGGTCGTGCGCAAGCTGGGAACGGACGAGACCAAGGTCAATGTTTACTTACCCGAGTACGAAGGCACCCTGCTGGGATCGGCCGTCGTGCCGCCTCTTGTCATCAACATTGTCGATGGCCACACGACCGCCATCGACTTCATTGCCGACCTTGCGCCTGGAGATGCAGAGGCTTATCGCACTATTGCGAATAACTGGTTGGAGGGCAAGCTCGACAAACTGAAGGTGCTGGGCAAGGCCAAAATTCATCTGAAGTCGGGCATCATTCCCTTGGGAACTCACCCCATCGTCGAGACGATGGTCTTTGAAGGTCAATCACTTTACCGTTCCTTTGCATCTCTGTATTTTGGAGAGAAGGCTTTCTTGAAATAGATTCATGTTTTTCTTTCCGTGTTGCACCTCCAATCCCGAGACCCCCTTACTGACGTCGTCATAGGGGGCGAGATACCTAGCATGCCCGAGTATAACATCACCCGTGTCAGCTTTCACGACATCAAAACACCCGGTGACGGAAGGGGAGCCGTCGGAGCTGATATCTCTGTTACGGCGCACAACGACTTCCCCGTCAGCATGGAGGTTCCTGAACTTGGTTTCCAAGTCCTTGTTCCCAGTTGCAATGGCACGGACGATCGTATTGTCATTGCCGATGTCATTACTGGACATCTCACCGTGAAGCCCAGGGCCGACATCGTTGTTGACGCCCAAGGGCTCATCCGGGAGCTCCCTACCGAGTTCACATCACCTTGCCCTGGCTCCGATTCATCCCCCATGGATGACTTCATCACCAAATATCTCAACGGCGACCCTCCCACCGTCTACGTACGAGGACAGAAGCTGCCGGAATCCAAGACGCCTGCCTGGATTGGCGATATACTCTCAAAGATTGTTGTGCCGGTTCCGTTCCCCAGCCAAGGCATGGGTGAAGTCATTCGAAGCTTTTCTCTCACGGATGTCAACTTTAAACTACCCAGCCCCATGGCCGACCCTGACGACCCTGACGGCAGCCCCAAGGTCTCCGGTACCATCTTGGTTCTCGCTGCGCTTCCCGAAGAGATGAACTTTGGTATCAACGTCACGAACCTCCGCGCAACGGCAGACGTCTTGTACAAAGGTGACAAGATGGGCGTGCTGAACCTCGACCGTTGGAACCATGCCAACTCGACTAGAGTCAAGGATGAAGACGAACACGACCCCCTGCTGAAGATCCAATCTCGCGTGGAGGAGGTTCCGCTCAACATTACTGATGGCGATGTCTTCTCAGACGTCATGGCTAAGCTTTTCTTCGGGGGCGAGGACGTCATGCTCGACGTGTACGCTAAGGTCGATGTCCAGATCAAGACTGCCTTGGGCAAGGTGATCCTCAGGGATGTTCCTGCCGAGGGCAGTGTTCCAGTAAAACGTCCGTACTCGTTTTAATGCTGTTCGTCTCCACCAGACTGTCGATTCTCCTTGTTGCCAGCATCTGCCGATCAACTGCGTCGACAGTCTATCGACTCGGGCTGACCGTCTGCCAGATCTTCCCGGCGACACACTCGGCGGCCTCAGCCCGCAGGTCGGCGAGATAAAAATCCTCGGCACCTCGTCGTCATCCGTTGACATTGAAGCCATGATCAACATGACGAATCCCACTCCCTATGCCGCATACATACCTTACGTCAACATACACATTGCGAAGAACGGCTCCGTCCTTGGCAGCGCCACGGCAGAGAACCTGAACCTCACAAGAGGCAACAACACCAATATCCGCGTTACTGCCCGATGGGATGCCAACGTGGCTGGCGGGAAAGGCAAGAAGATTGGGGCCGAGCTCCTGTCGCAGTACCTGTCCGGCTATAACGTGACCCTGGACGTGCAGACCCACCGCGACAGCATCCCCGCCGTGCCCCTCATCGGTGAGGCACTCTCGCACCTCAACATCAGCATCCCTGCGCCGAAGCTTGATCTTCCCAGCGAAGATGGCGAGGAGGGTCACTTTATCCGGGATGCCGTTTTCCACGTCATCTCCTCCACGGCTACTTTCACGCTCGTCTCCCCACTGCATTACAACACGCTCTACATAGACGCGGTCAACGCGACAGCCTACTACAACCATACAGAGCCTGTGGGCCGTATCGACTACGACTTGCCCTTCGCCGTCACGCCAGGGGCGACCAAAACGCCAAAGCTGCCGGTACAGTGGTCTGTCGGCTCTATTGGCTACGACGCCGTCAAGAAGGCACTGGGGGGCGTGCTGAAGCTAGATGCCAAGGCGAACGTGACGGTGAGGATAGGCAACTGGCGGGAGACGGTGTGGTACACGGGCAGAGGCATTGGTGCACATATCAGCCTTTGAGAGGCATGGGAACGGAACTGGAGTTTTGGGATTTACTTGGCGCGGCGTTCTTGTCATCCTTCCAACTGAAATAGAATTGAAAGCGGACATTTGGTCTTTCGATTGATGATATCTTTGCCAGCTCGAGAATGATGCGTTGCGTTCTGGAGACTGAGTGACATTACTCGATGTACGGAACTCGTTTGTGATCTGCGAGACAGACGCGGAACAACAGCTTTGGTGTATCTCAGGCCCTTGAACGAGCACTAATGACAAAACAAAGCAGACGCAATACAAAAAACATGTTATCGTACGTCTTCGACTGTAGCGAACAGAGCTATTGTACCTTCATACAATTTTTCACGCTCGTGCAGATATACAAAAACCGATGCACCGCACTGATGGCAGTATTTGGAGAGGTTCGGTATTCGTCGCAAAACCTAGAAGACCTGACTACACAAAAGGGTACCATACTTCAGATCACAAAAAAGACACTACAGCAAGACCAACATGGAAATGACAGGAATGACAGAATATCGTCCGCAGCACGGAACGTCACGCCTGCACCGCACGCTGAGCGCAGGCGCTGCGGCGCTGCAGGAGCAGGCAGGGTACGTCAACCTAAGGGTTCAGGCTTTCGAAGCCGCAAGAGTGAAGCTTATAGACACGTCCAGGCAGGAGCTGAGATCCGGGTCGCCAACCTTGATGGGCCAGTTGATCGTGCAGGTGGACGAGGCGCTGGCTGGTTGGATGGGCTTCGCCTCGGCGCGGTACGATGATCACAATGCCTCTGTAATGATTCGCAAAAGTAACCGTGCCGGGCAGGAAGGCGAAGGTGAGTCTGGTCAATGCTGACGCAAGCAGATAGGCAGTGGCTGAGGCGTAGAGTCTGATGCTGAAAAATGAGCCACTGGGCAAGTCACAAGGTCGGGGAACACTGGCCCCCACAGTAGCCAGCTTCATGAGCCCGGTAGAGATCAGTACACAGTTCGATGCTTGAGAAAAGCGAACATATCAGAGCAGGTCAGTACACGCGTTAGTAACAGCACCGCACGAGCAACTGTGAGAGCACTTCCCGTAGTAATGGTGACGAGGGGCCGCGCAAGTGCGCGGCCGCGATACCACTCACCACGTCTATTTGCGCCTGGGTGTCAGCAGGGAATTATTGTCATTAGGGCCACTAATTATCAAGAGGGTGTTGCACCTTTGTATGAGCCAGGGGGGTTACATCCTGCATCACTGCAAACGCACGCCGGCCTCCTTCCGTTTGCTACTGGATGAGCTCATGGTCGCGTTCTCGCTGGCGTCGAGTATGCTCTGCGACTCGCGCTTCTTCTCGGCCTCGATCTTTTTGAGTCGCTTGTCGGTCTTGCCCTTGCCGCTGCCCTTGCCGTGGAACTGGTGGCTGAGGTGCTTGAAAGCCTCCTTCTGGTCCAGCGCCCGGCCAAACTCGTCGGTGTACTTGAGTTTGACGTCGGGCTTGTACTGAGTCTTGAAGAGCTGATCGATAGTGCGAGACTGCTGCTGGTCGCGGTACGTGTTTTGCTGGCGCGCGTATTCCTCCCTGTCGCGGATCGACATGCGGTCCCAGCGACCGCTCTTTCGGTCCTTCTCTCTCTGGTCGCGTGTCCTTTCATCTTGCTCACTTTCGAGCCGCCGCCTGGCGGCTAGGAATTCGGACTTGCGACGGAATTCCTCGTTGAGCTCAGCGCCGTGTGCATCCTGAACCAGGCCACGCTCTCTCAGCAGTGTGAGTGCAGAACCCATGCCGGCACCAATCGTCCTCTCCTCATCGATGCCTGCGTAGTCAATGGGATCTTCTATCTTAGCGTCCGAAGCATCGACGTGTGAGGCGTCGCCCATGTGAAGATCCCCGTCGTCGTCGGACTCGTCGTGCATTGCGGTGATAGATTGCTCAGTAACTTGTTTCGACTTGCGCGCCTTCCGGTCCTCGTCCTCGTCTGGTTTCTTCAAGCCAGAAACGAACTCTGAGATTTCATCAATAATAACACCTCCTTGGTCTTCCTCTTCCGGCTGCTCAGTCTGCTCATTGAGTTCCCTGGCGATATCCTCGGGCCGTGTCCTCTTCCTTTTCTTCAGAGCCGTTCTCCTCTGAATGGCGAGGGAGGCTTGGAGATCTTCGTCGTCCACGAAAGAGTCGTCCACGACCTTTCGCTTCCTTGGCAGCACTGGTGCTCCCGAGTCAATGTCCATTTGCTCGTCTTCGACAGGCGCGGGCACTTCTGGGATGATGTCGTCTTCATCGACGGGCTTCTGGCGCGTCGACTTGGACTTCTTCTTCTTGGGTTTCCGGACCTTGATCTCTGAAATGTCAAGATAGTCGGACTTGGGAGCGTCTTCCATAGCGTCAAGATCAATGTTCTGTACGTCCTTCTTCTTCTTTGAGGGGCCATCGAGGATGTCGGCGAGCTCAGCAATGGCACCTGATGAGTCGAGAGTGAACTTTTTTGACTTTTTGCCATAGATTTCCTCGTCGTATTGTGACAGCAGCCCTCGCTCCTCCGAATCATCCAAATTATGCACATCATACGCCGGCCTCTTCTTCTTGAGGTCGAGGTTCTCCTTGAGTTTTTCCTGCGCACGGAGGTCGAGGTTCTCGAGTTCGTCGCCTTCCTCTTCGTTCTGGTCAATAGTGGTATCCTTCAGTGTCAAGATCTGGTCATCGCCGTCCAGGAAGCTGTCCAGTTCGTGTGCCACTTTGACTCCGGCGAGATCTTTTGATGTGTACTCGAGCGCCGCCGCCGCTGCCGCCTCCGCCGCGGCCTGCTCCTCCTCAAACTTGCGCGTCTTGGCAATGGTCTTCTGTCGCTTCTTCTGCGCCTTGAGCCAGGCCTTGGCGTCCAGGTCACCGGCATCGTCCTCCTCGCCAAGACCTTTGCCTTCGAGGGTGGCTAGGCGTTGGGCATTGTCGCGCTCCTTCTTCGCGGCGGCGACGCGCGCCTCGCGTTTGCGCTTGGCTTCCTCGGCTTCGCGGATCTGCCTGTAGTTGTCATAGGATTGTGCCTGGCGTGTGTCGATGGTGCTGGCCTCCTCTTCTTCTTCTCCATCGCTTTCGGATCCTGCGCGGCGCTCCTTGGGCGACGGGGGTGCGGCGCCTGGTACAGGAAGAGGCTTCAGGCCCAGGGACTCGCGCATGCGATTCGTCTCCTCGATGGTGGCGGCATCCATCTTGGCGGGTTGCCCAGGGAGGGGGGCGGCGAGGTTTGGGTTTGAGTGGAGATGTCCTTTGGGTGATGTCGGGAGAGGGTATGGTGTAAACTTGATGGATAGAGGACAGGCTCGCGGCAGGACTAGACGGTAGATGGGTGTCGATGTCAAAGCAGTTGAAGTTGCTGGAGCTCTGAACATCTGTGGCCCACCCAGGTGGCTGGCCAAAAAGTACTGATGCAGGTAGCGCATGGCAGGCAGGACGACAGGCGGCAGGCAGACAAATTGGGCGTTTAGTCAGCAACGATTGCGGGTCCGCCGTTGGAGTACATATCGCAGCCTCGAAATTTTTCTGCTTCCTTTCTTCTCTCCTTCTTCTCACCACGGATCTGTGCCCAGCGATCCTCTAGCCTGCGCGTTAGAGTTGATTTCTGCGGCATCTCGATTTCACCCCAAGGAGCCATCACTTATGATGTCAATCATCCAATCGGCAGATCCAAGAACGACCAGCCCGGGAAGCCTCGCTCGCCGTAAAACGCTGAGCTTGGGGGAACGGGAGCACTGGGGCCGTCATATTCCAAACCTTTTTACCGAGATCGTCGATCGATGAGGTTGGAGGCAAACCATTTCGGCTACAACTTTTATTTGCTTTCACTCTGCTTGCTGCACGGTGAACTGGGAAACACCAGGCAGGCGTAGGTGGAGGGACGAGACGCTGCATCTCCTTGACATGTGTACGTGAAACCTCGCCGCCCGGTATCCTGAAGGCAGTTCTCGCAACGCGTATGCGCAGTACGGCAGCATCTCTGATTCTATGATGTCGGGACGACGCAGTAGTCATTATTTGCCTACGTGACCAGAGTCCCCATGCCAATTTTCCAAACAAAAGAGGCCGTTGGCCAGGAAATGAGTGCCGGGCGATCGACGAACCCCATCAAAATGGATACCCAAAAGCAGAGCCGCAATGACGGTTCACAATGTTCTCGGCCTCGAGCTTGGCATGTCGAGGCACGACGCGGATTCAGAGTATGGGGTTGCCAAATCTAATGACGGTATCTGGATCACATGGTCGCGTGAAGATGAGAAGTGCGGGGCTTCTTTGACGTCTTACCCCAGGGCCTCCCCATGCCATGACTGAACACCATCGCATACAGTACTTCGCAGCCTGCAGCTCATCCGGCACAGAGTCTCTCCGCTTACAGAGGCTATACCACATGGTTCTGTTCCTCGTGACAGGGCTTGGGACAACAATATCGAGGCATCGGCTGCGCGGGCCGATGAAAACTGTTGGTGTACTTGGTCTTGTGATCTTCGTGTAAGGAAAACTTGAATCGATTTCCAGTTTGGCCAAGATAACCCGACGGGCACCTGAACTGCGAGCAACATAAGAGCAGCAGGCTTTTCATGGTTCACACAAGATTTGATCTTTCCCCGCCTCCATCGCGCCTTCCTACATCTGCCTGATGTCAATGTCCTACCTTTTTGACAGAAGCACAGACTACCATCATGTCTTTCTTTCTCGGCCTGACTCTCGAGGCATTCCCGGCCAACCTCACCAATTCCCTCGCACAGCCCTTCATGTCGTACCTGTCGTCTGCCCTCCTCTTAGGCTCTGTCGCTGTGCAGCACATCCTAGGCAACACCGCCGCCACCCCACCAACATCTGATCTCGAGTCCTTCATACAAAGGCAGTATCCGATCGCCTATGATGGAGTGCTGTGTAATATTGGGTCTGAAGGTTGCCAGGCTCAAGGCTCAAGCCCTGGTGTTGTGATCGCATCTCCGAGTCGGGAGGATCCGCCATGTGAGTTGCTCCGAGCGATGGACCGTGGCCATCTGGAATCTGGTGTCCAGCCCAACGTTTAATCATCACTGTCAGACTTTTACACTTGGACACGGGATAGCGGACTAGTGTTCAAGTCACTCGTGGACATCTTCGTCGATAAATTTGATCCTGCCCTACAAGATAAGATCCAACAGTACGTGGCTTCTTCGGCTCGGCTACAGGGCGTCAGCAATCCATCTGGCGAGCTCTGGAACGGCGAAGGGCTCGGCGAAGCCAAGTTCAATGTTGATCTTACGGCATTCACGAGAGACTGGGGTATTTCGCCCGTGCTCTGTGATCGTCTTCTCAGACGACTAACACGAATCAGGACGGCCACAGCGGGATGGGCCTGCACTGCGAGCTATTGCCATCATCGGATATGCCAAGTGGCTCGTCAGCAATGGGCATGCTTCGACAGCTGAAGACGTATTATGGCCCGTTATCCAGAACGACCTCGCCTACGTTGCTCAATACTGGTACAATAAGTATTTTCTCGTCTGAATGCACCCTCACTTACTGGATTTGCAAGGAATCAAACGGGCTTCGACCTCTGGGAGGAAGTCTATGGAAGCTCGTTCTTTACGGCAGCGAGCCAGCACAGAGGTTCGTTCGCGACACGCGGAAGATTCTGTTTAAACACTAACACCTGCCGTTCAACCAGCTCTCGTTGAGGGTGCCTCGCTTGCCCGAACTCTTGGATTTCGATGCTGGTCTTGTGAGGCCATTGCCCCTCATATCCTATGTTTCATGCAATCCTTTTGGTCACCATCGGCCAAACACATCCTCGCGAACAGTGAGTTTTTCTGGGTGCCACCGCATACGTCTTCGGCATCTGACGCTACTACCCCCACCAGTCCATCACGACAGCAAAAGATCGGGTCTAGATGCGAACTCCATTCTAGGTTCTATCCACACTTTCGACCCTTTCGCTGGCTGCGACGCTGCAACGTTCCAGCCCTGCAGTGACAGAGCTTTGGCAAGCCACAAGGCAATAGTTGATTCCTTCCGCTCCCTGTACAGCATCAACGACGGCATCTCCCCCTCATCTGCTGTAGCGATCGGTCGGTATCCAGAGGATGTGTATTATGGCGGCCAGGCATGGTACCTGACGACACTGGCTGCTGCTGAGCAACTCTATGACGCACTCCTTGTCTGGAAGCTTCAAGGATCCATCACTGTCACAGAGGTCTCCCTATCCTTTTTCCAACCACATCTGCCCTCTATCACCACAGGCACCTATGATAACCAGACGTCAGCCTATGCCACCTTGACGGATGCCATCTTCACATATGCAGATGGATTCGTCAAGACCGTAGCCAACTTTACGCCAGTCGATGGAAAGCTGGATGAACAATTCGACCGCGATACGGGCGAGCCCCTTTCAGCGCGGGATCTTACTTGGTCTTACGCCTCTTTCCTGACTGCCATCAGGCGACGAGCTGGCCTTGAGTCCCCTGGCTGGATCAAAGCAGATGCTACTCTGGCCCCGGCGACTTGCTCAGCAACGTCCGTGTTTGGCGTGTACGCCTCAGCGACAGCAACAACCTTTCCACCAAACTTAGTCCCAGGCACACCACCCTCGGAAACCCCCCCTCTCAAATTTCCCAAACCCTCAACGTGCCTAGTCAGATTCCAAGAGCGTGTATCGACTCGGGTAGGACAGGATATACGGGTCGTCGGAAACCTGCCGGGTTTGGGAAGATGGGATCCCGGGCATGCCGTGCCCTTGGACGCCTCGCAATACACGGTTACGGATCCGTCGTGGCGCGTCACAATCCCTCTGCCGGCGGGGCAAGTGGTAGAATACAAATATGTGATGCTTGAAAGTGATGGCTCCGTGGTCTGGGAAGCAGGGAGCAATCGAGTGCTGACAGTACCCAGCGAGTGTGAGGGGGAGCTGGAGAGGTCTGATGAGTGGCAGAGCTGATAGGGGTTTGCCTGGTTGGGAGTTTCCTTTAGTATTCAGCATTGGTCAGGTTGATAAATTGAGAACCTATATTTTTCCTCCCTTCATCATGATGCCAGTCTATCACAGACGGTGGCCGATCTGGCTACGACATTGTCGGATATGTGCCCACACGTCGCTGGCTGGCACCGGGTCTCCAGGCTTCATCGTCGGCAAGATGTGAACCAATTTCTGCCATCCAAGGAGTTATCCAAGAAACTCAAGCATCTACCGCTACTGGCTTCAGCCGCCTTTCCAGCTCGGCCATGACAGTATCAACCGCCCACTCCAAGGTCTTCTCCATATCGACATCCAGCTCGTCACCCTCCTGCGCCAGGATGCCGTTCTCCCTCAACACCCCGCGGTCCAAGGCCCCCTCAACATGACGCCCCTCAAACAACCAGCCGTGCGCATCTGCATAGTTGGGCCAGACAACGGCGTCCACGTACCCCGGCGGGTCCTTCCAGAACCCCTCGAGCGTGACGTACCCGTCCCTGGCCTCGCGCCTGTGCGTCGCCCGCGCGCGGCTGACGGTCAGGAACAGCTTGACGTCGATGAGACGCATGGCGGCCTGCATCTCGCTGCAGTAGAGGAGGAAGCCGTCGAAGAGACAGAGGCGGAGGCCCGAGGCGAAGACGGCGTGGCCTGGCGCCGAGGGACGGAGCCAGGCGGCGACCTTGGCCTGGAGAGCTGCGATCTTGTCGGTGCTGACGGGGCAGGCGCCCACTGAGTTTTGGTCCTCCTTCGAATCGACAAACGGCTGTAGGTTTGGGTTAGAGGGAGAGGGGGCGAAGCAGGGAAGAGGTCGAGGGGGGACAAGGGACGGGACGTACGGGGAATGTGCCGGAGGTGCGGATATGGGCGAGGGCCTTTTCCATGTCCGGGATGTTGATCGCTTGGGGGCAGTCCCAGTCTAGGAGGCCGTTCTTGGAGGGCAGTCTGCGAGGCGAGATACATGTCAGCTGGGCTACCTGGCTGTCGAGGGGGATGGTCTGTGGATGTACTCTTCTTCCGCGCGGTAGAAGTCATCCTCGTGGAGAATAAAGGTGTTGGGGAAAATGTCGCGGAGGAGACGGGCGAGGGTTGTCTTGCCGCTGGACGAGCAGCCGCTGAGGGCCACGACAACGGCTTTCTGGTCCGTCATGAGGGACGACTCTCGACGAGTGAGTGGCTGTTTTGGGGGAGGCGGGTGAGGTGAGGTGCTACAAGTGAGATGAGTCTGGGGCTACTGATTGACGAGCTTAGAGTTCAAAGTGGTCCACAACGGGCAAGACAGGGCTTCAGGTGCGATTGACAGCATCGGAGAAGGTTCAATTAGTACAGAGAACCCCATATATGGTGTTGTATTTCGAAATAGATGCCTGTGTCAATTAATTCCATCCTATTGCACAGCATTTTATTTTCCATGCTATCCTGGTGTTCCCGATCCAACGCTGCGGTTCGTAGCCTCGGACTATGGGCTATGGATGATGAGTACGTCAATATTTGGAAGGCATCTGACCAGTATCATACTTATTGTATGAGCAGAACGAGACGCGGCTTTCATTGTCCCTCTTGCACAAAACCATTGGCGTGCTTTGAGTTGGTCATCGAAGCAACTGACAGGGGAGCTTATGAGTCGATCCCGCTGCTGAAACTGGAGCGCACTGCAAACGTCAGTGCACAAACCAAGTATACCCTACCTACCTACCACCTAGGTAGGTAGGTATCCAAGGTACCTTATGGTACCTGGCAGTGGGTGGGGTGTCATGGCGTGGGCGCTCGAACACCAAAGCTTTGAGCCAAGCTTCCAGACCTGCCGCAGCTCCCGCATCCTGACAAACCTCAACTCTGACGCTCAACTTTGTCCTTGCCAGCATCCCGCGGTCTCTCCCGATCCGGGTTCCTCACCGACCACATCGAAGCTGCGTTGCTACCACCGCAGGCCATACAAATTCACATACCCGCCAAAGCTCAAGCCCGCGCCCGCGGCACTCTCCCCCCGCCATGTCCGACACGCTGCACCTCATCCTCACCACCTCCGCCGTGACCTTCCTCTCCGGCTTCGCCCTCGGCGTCTTCGCCATTCGCGGCTACCTCATCTCTCCTGCGCTCAAGGCCGAGCGCCGCGGCAACCTCCGCGACCCCGTCGAGAGCGACGAGTCCGACATTGACGAGGACGACACGATCCTCGACCACGCCCCCAACTGGGCCAACGGGGAGGCTGCCGACCGCCGCGACGGCCTGCGCCAGGAGGAGAAGAAGAAGGACGAGAAGAAGGCCAAGGCCGTGCCCATTGCAGACGTCGGCAAGGAGGAATGCAAGCTCGTCCTCGTGGTCAGGACAGACCTTGGCATGACGAAGGGTACGCCGTTCCCTTTCCCACCCATTTGTTTCCCATCCATTTGATTCCCACCTGCAAGACAATGGACTGACCTGCGCCCCCTCCCTTAGGCAAGATGGCCGCCCAGAGCTCCCACGCCACCCTCGCGTGCTACAAGGTGCTCGCCCGCGCCGCCGCCAAGAACGGCCCGTCCTCCGCCGAGGCCCGTCTGCTCGACCGCTGGGAGCGCCTCGGCCAGGCCAAAATCGCCGTCCAAATTAAGGGTGAGGACGAGCTGAAGAAGCTGCGGGCCGCGGCGCGCGCTCAGGGTGTCACGGCCGAGGTCATTGCCGATGCTGGCCGCACGCAGATTGAGGCCGGCAGCCTGACGGTGCTTGGCGTCGGTCCGGCGCCCAAGAGCTTGGTGGATAAGATTACCGGGCATCTGAAGCTGCTGTGAGCGGCATGCTCTCGAGACAGGGAGGTTTCGGCCTTGGTCGACATAGAATTTTCATGTCTTTGATTTTTTTTTATATTTCTGTTTAGATTCGAGGGAAACGGTGCTCCATGGTATGGGAAACAGAAAATGGTGAGAAGAGCAGGACTGAAATCTGCTTGGTAGTTGCTGTACAGGAAGATGGCCGTGTGCGCGCAAACATAAACACACACACACACACACACACACAAAGCAAAGGCCCGGTTCGTTATTGATGGACCGGAACGTACTTTGCGCAGGTAGATCGGAATTCACGAAGAAACGGAATCTCAAAACCACTCGGGCACATCAAGTTGTGACATGCCAGGGTATTTAATGACCAGACTACCAAATCCCACGTTCCAAAACGCCAGCTAGATGCAAACCCCCAGCCCCGGGCATGGTTCCTACAAGGTGCGACACGGATTCCTCCCCTGCGTCTGCTTCTTCTTCTTCTTCTTCTTCTTCTTCTACTCCTGCTCCGCCGCGCCGCGCCTACGCTTTCCTGACGAATCGCGACAGCGCCGGGCCGAGGTCGGCCTCGACCTCTTGCGTCTTCTTCTCCCTGAGCTTCTGCTGCTCGTTCCAAATCTCGTCGACCTTCATCCTCTTCTCGTCGATGATGTTCTTCTTGCGCTGCTTGCGCAGGTACTTCTTGAGGGCGCCGTTCTTGCCCCTGGCGCGGTTGCGGATCTCCTCTTCGACGTTCTCGGGCTTGGCGTCGAGGTCCTTGTCGGCGCGGCGCTGCTTGTCGGAGCGCAGGTCGAGGTTGCCGATGAAGTTGGGGTCGAGGGCGATCATCTCGGGCTGCAGCTTGTTGAGCAGGCCCTTGACCTCGGCCTCCTGGCGCTGCTTGGCCGTCTCGAAGGGGTTGACCTCGAGGGCGTCAAAGTTGGCCTCGCCGGCGCCGGGCACAATGATGGACGAGAAGCCCTCGTCGTGGCCCATGCCGAGCGTGTCCTCAAAGGGGCACCAGCGCACGCGCTCGACGCGCTTGCCCTCGCCGCCCCACGTCATGTAGGGGCTCTGCACCTTCTCCTGCGTCGGCGCGTGCTTGGAGAAGAGGCCCTTCCAGACGGTCGTCTGCGTGCCCCAGCCCACGGCCGTGAGGCCCGTCTCGGAGATGGCCACCGACGACGCCGGCTGCCGCGTGAAGTACTGGTGCACCTCCTTGAACATGCGAATGTCCCAGATGGCCATCTTGCAGTCCTGGCCCGTCGTCACCATGTAGCGGCCCTCGCGGTCGACGGCCGCCGAGCGCACGGCGCCGCGGTGCGCCAGCAGCTTGACGACGGCGTCATGGGAGTTTGGTGACCAGAGGGTGACTGTGCCGTTCTGGTGGCCGGCGTGGATAATGGCGTTGTAGGGGTTGTGCGTTATGGCCGTCGGGGGGCCGAGTTTCGTGGGGAGCTCCGTCACAATCTGACCCGTTGATGTGTCTTGGTATTTGAGCCAGCCGTTGGTGGCCTGGTGTGGTTTTGTAAGTCAGATGTCTTCCAGTCGGGGGTTGTTTTTTGGCATGCGGTCAACTCACCATTGTGCAGAGGAGAAAGTGATAGGGCAGAAACTCCATGTGCGTGACCTCGCGGTGCTTCTTCAGGCAATGCAGCTCGACACCGTCCTTGTCGTAGATGTAGACATAGTTCTTCTGCGCCACGGCGAAGAACTGGTTGTTGTGCAGCCACTTGACGTCCCTGATCGTCTCGCCCAGCTGCAGCTCGCACCCCAGCTTGCCCTCGCGCCAGTCCATCGTCGCGATGTGGCCCTTTCGCCCCGCCATCAGCAGGTCCCTGCCGTTGCGCGAGTACTCGGCGATGTAGGGTCCCAGCTGGTCGAGCTTCAGCTCGAACCGCTTCTGCGCCGTCGACACGGCCACATCCTCGATAATGTCCTGCTGGCGGACCTTGTAGGTCCTCTCCAGCTCCGTCTCGGGCTCGAGGAAGCCGGTTGTCTTCTCGAGCAGAATCTCGGCGTCGCGGGCGCGCAGGGCAGCCGTCTCGAACTTGCCCTCGAGGCGCTTCATGCTGCCGCGGAGCTTCTTGTCGCGCACCGTCTTGAGGTTGACCTTCTTGCCGCGGCCGTAGGACTGATCGGCCTCCTTGCGGCGCTTCAGCTTGTCGCGCTCCGACTTGGTCAAGAGGTTTGTCCGGCGCTCGACGGCGGTCGCGCCATTGGAGTGTTGCCTCGCTGGCGCGGCATCTGTCC